TGATTTTACGTACTTTGTACATAAAAGTACGAAGTATTGTACTGAGTATACAATGTCTGCTCCATTGCAACTTTTACCCATAATATGAAATTCTTCAAAATTTCTTCAGTACAAAAAAACCATTTCAAATCTATACTGTTCTATACATTCCGCTGACTTTGACTATCAAAATCGCGATAATTGCACTCAAGGCTCAATCCTTTGCCCGAATCTATGAATTTTTCAAAAATTTTGTTGGCACAAAATCTATTTGAACTGTAAAGTAGTATATGATTCTCGATATTTCGGTTGATATATATTATCCAATTGTGGTCCAAGTCGCAGCTTTTAGCCGTATTTGTTTATTTCTCGAAAACTGCGCTACTAAAAAAGCTCTTTCAAACAATAACTGTTACATGATTTTCGATCCTTCCGATCTTACAAATCATGAAAATCGTACTTTAGGTTACAACGTTTAGCACAATATTTGAATTTTTCGGATATTCCCTGCCTACCAAATTGCTTTGACCTGGAACATATTGCATGAAATTTGATCTCTCCGATCATTAAAATGTTCGAAATTGTACTTTAGATATCGTTGTTCAGGTGAATATATGAATTTTTCGAAGATTCCCTAGGCACAAAATCGCTTTAGCCTGTAACATATTTGACAGTTAGAGTTACTAACAAGTAACGTGAGTCGCAAGACACGCTTGACCCTCGACTCAATATTCAGCTATTTATATTTAAAATAAGTATTTTTACACAGCACTAAGAAACACTTAACGACGTTAATATTTATTCCTAGAAACCAATTGATACGATCCTACCGGTTAAAACAAGCTCTAGTGCGTTCTCAATGGAAATATGCATGACGAAATATTTAGTGTGCCATGAGTTGATCTAAAGAAAGATTTCTCGAACAGCAATACTAAAATAACTGTCGTCTTTTTTAATTTAACAAATATTACGTGGCTGAGCAGGCAAACATGAGTTTCAAAACGTAAACCTCATTTTACTCCACTCAAAATTTGTTTGTGCTCAGGATATCTTAACGCGCTAAAACGTCTGGGGTGGCATTTCTACTTTCTTACTATTCTGTGCGCATAAATTGTATCCCTAGAGTTTGTAGAAAAATCAGCTTTTTCTCACTTTACGCTACTCCTAGAGTCAGTCTTATGTAGTGGATAAATATCGTTCGTATTTGATATTTTAGTTTGAACTCTAACGACACTGTCCATCAGTACCCATGTAATAAAAACCGCATGAAAATCGGCGGCTAACCGCGGTTTTACCGGTCCAGTTACCGGCTCTCATTACCGCAGAACGGATAAATACCGCGGTTTACCACAAAAAATGAACAGGCATTTACCGCGGTAAACCGCTGGTTTTGATTAATACCGCGGTTACCGCTAAAAAAAGCGGTTAACCGGTTCATCTATAATTTTTGACTGAAAAAGTCTTCCAAATCATCAATTAAACTATTTTAAAGATCCTTTTTTTTTTTACTTTTACATGTGATAAACATGCGCAAAAAAAACCGCCGGTTTTACCGGTCCGGTTACCGGCTCCCATTACCGCAGAACGGGTAAATACCGCGGTTTACCGCAAAAATTGATCCGGTATTCGCAACATGGGTAGGCAGCAGCTAGTCGTTCGTCGGCGCCTCATTGGAGTACCCACGAATGACTAGTCAATGCCATACACTGGTGAAATTCAACTTCAGATCAACCAATTTCCCTTATACCCTAGTTCTTTCCGACATCTAACAATGAAGAACACGCTCCACTTTACAACTAAATGTTACTCACAAGGACACAATATCAATTATTTCGACGTTTGTGACTCCTTATGATTGAGGTTCCACAATCCAATGGAGCTGCTAAAGCTACGCTTTCGTGCCAAAACAAAATGGCTTTAATGCCACGAATCTACTTACACATTCAGATTCCCCAACCCCGATTACCTTTGGTCAAACTATATAAACAATAGTTAGTTTCTGAAAAACGTCTTTCTTTCTTGTAAAAAATTTCGAAATGAACATTTCCGAAAACTAATCACGGATCTAGCTTCCGCAACCGATAAAAACTTTACGAAAGTGTAATCAGAACACCAAAAAACCATAAGATAAGAAAATCTCGTTTTCGATTGGCCAAGTTTCTGACCAATGGGAGTGCAGGTCGAAAAACCGTTGCCAAATTCGAATTCCCCGATCCCGATAACCTATACGGATCTGTCATCAGAACACCATAAAACCTTAAGATAAAAAATCTCGTTTTTGATTGGCCTAGTCTCTGACCAATGGGAGTGCAGGTCGAAAAACCGTTGCCAAATTCGAATTTCCAGACCCCGATAACCTATACGGATCAGCGGCGTAACCAGGATTTTTAGACCACTGGGTAAACTTTCATTGAGGCAAAAAAAAACATGGGCAAAATGGGCAAGATTTTCATTGATGGGCCAAAATGTTTCAACCCAACAAAGTATTAATAACGTAGAAAAAACACGAAAAAAGATGAAATAAAATGATGTTCATTTAACTACACAAAAAATATGAGATTCTTTTAACCGAATATATATGAAATGAATCTCAGATTTTAAGCTTTTTTCAGACTTGCTTAGTTAGACATATTTTGTTCTATCTTCAGTCTCTATTTATAACATTTGGTTTTGAAATTCAAACACCAAAATCAAGACGACGATTGTATATTTTTACATATAATTTCAATATTTCGAAGAGAAGTGATGACTAAGTAACGTATTGGCACTGGCGGATCTACCATTACGGCTAACCGGCGAGGGGCACCCCTTCACGAAATTTTTTTTGATTTTTCCTAGCAAAAATGAAACAGAAAAGAGTCATATTGCCTCAAATAGACTTCAAAAAACACTTTTTGCCCAGGCGGGGGGGGGGGGGGGGGGGGTGGGGGGGGGGGGGGGGGGGGGGGGGGGGGGGGGGGGG